TACAGTCCCAAATGAACAACTAAGGTGAATGAAGAAAATAAAAGACGGATTCAGCGAAGAAAATTTTCTTTATCGACGAAATCATCTTCAGAGGCTGTACAGTCGTATTTATACTTAGAAGAATGTATAGTGGTCTATTATTGAATAATAGGGGGTGACATAATTGCTGTAATTAATCATAAGTGGCTTTAGAGGTGAAAATTAAAAGTTGTAAATTACATGGTACTTGACGGAACAAAGATAGAAGTTAGAAAAGGTTAAAATTGCTCTTGAGTGAGAATAAAGTTATTAGAGTGTCAATTTAACAAGTGTGAAGAAGGTGTGAAAATATATGAAATTGATAATAGTGAATTAATTATTAAAGCAAAAGCAAACTAAAAGTAAAATTAAAGATTAAGAACAAAATCAAAAATATTTTTTAACAGGGAAGGATAAGTGAAGAGGTTAAGACCAAGGTAGAATAAGAGACTGGACAAACTTTTTCTGTATACAGAGATCAGGGTTGTATTGATGTATTGCCAGCGCCTCCGCCATACACAAAAGCCGGAACCTGACGCCTTTTGCACAATTTGGCTTCACCTTGTAGATGATGTTGAAAGACGACTCTGGTGGAGCTACGTGGCCTGAGTTCACCAAATGCTCGAGAATTGAGCTAGTAATTGTCTTGTATTGTCCCTTTGCTAACCATGCCGGATAATGTTCAGAGATGCGTTTGGAAAGCGTGCGCTTTGTGCGGCCAATATAACTTGCTCCACACGAGCATGTGAATTTATAAACACACATTGAGGTGGCCCAAAGCGGCAGCTTATCCTTTACACATCCGTTGATCATTCGTCAGCTGTAGAAATTGATACGTAGCTCAGCCATAAAGAAGGCTTTCCTCAGTGATCTGCGTAAGCGATTCTTCAAGATCTCAGCTGCAGTATCACCTTTAAATTCAACACTCATAAAGAGCAGTTTCTTCGGCACAGTCTGAATTCTTTCGGGCTTTTCTCTTAGCTTCATGTTTTTCTCGATGAATCTTGGAGGATATCCATTCTCTAAGAGAACTTGTCTGAGTCGCTCCAATTCCCCATCGATTGTATCACTTGAACATATCCTCCTTATTCTTGAGGATAAGGAATGGATCAAATTTCTCTTTCTTCTTAAAGGGACCCAGCTATGGAAATTTGTGTACTGACCATTCCATGTTGGTTTCCTGTAGATCGATCTTTGAAGAGAGCCATCAGATCTCCTCTTTAGAAAAACATCCAAAAAGTGGAATTCCGAGTTAATCTCTGATTCCGACGTGAATTTGATGGCATGATGGCAGCTGTTGAACTCATTAGTTATCAATTCGACGTCAGTATTGTCGTCACATATGATGAAGGTATCATCCATGTATCTTAGGTACAGATGGAAACAGATGGAGAATAGTATTTTATGGCCTACTATCGACAGTTTCCATCTGTACCTAAGATACATGGATGATACCTTCATCATATGTGACGACAATACTGACGTCGAATTGATAACTAATGAGTTCAACAGCTGCCATCATGCCATCAAATTCACGTCGGAATCAGAGATTAACTCGGAATTCCACTTTTTGGATGTTTTTCTAAAGAGGAGATCTGATGGCTCTCTTCAAAGATCGATCTACAGGAAACCAACATGGAATGGTCAGTACACAAATTTCCATAGCTGGGTCCCTTTAAGAAGAAAGAGAAATTTGATCCATTCCCTATCCTCAAGAATAAGGAGGATATGTTCAAGTGATACAATCGATGGGGAATTGGAGCGACTCAGACAAGTTCTCTTAGAGAATGGATATCCTCCAAGATTCATCGAGAAAAACATGAAGCTAAGAGAAAAGCCCGAAAGAATTCAGACTGTGCCGAAGAAACTGCTCTTTATGAGTGTTGAATTTAAAGGTGATACTGCAGCTGAGATCTTGAAGAATCGCTTACGCAGATCACTGAGGAAAGCCTTCTTTATGGCTGAGCTACGTATCAATTTCTACAGCCGACGAATGATCAACGGATGTGTAAAGGATAAGCTGCCGCTTTGGGCCACCTCAATGTGTGTTTATAAATTCACATGCTCGTGTGGAGCAAGTTATATTGGCCGCACAAAGCGCACGCTTTCCAAACGCATCTCTGAACATTATCCGGCATGGTTAGCAAAGGGACAATACAAGACAATTACTAGCTCAATTCTCGAGCATTTGGTGAACTCAGGCCACGTAGCTCCACCAGAGTCGTCTTTCAACATCATCTACAAAGTGAAGCCAAATTGTACAAAAGGCGTCAGGTTCCGGCTTTTGTGTATGGCGGAGGCGCTGGCAATACATCAATACAACCCTGATCTCTGTATACAGAAAAAGTTTGTCCAGTCTCTTATTCTACCTTGGTCTTAACCTCTTCACTTATCCTTCCCTGTTAAAAAATATTTTTGATTTTGTTCTTAATCTTTAATTTTACTTTTAGTTTGCTTTTGCTTTAATAATTAATTCACTATTATCAATTTCATATATTTTCACACCTTCTTCACACTTGTTAAATTGACACTCTAATAACTTTATTCTCACTCAAGAGCAATTTTAACCTTTTCTAACTTCTATCTTTGTTCCGTCAAGTACCATGTAATTTACAACTTTTAATTTTCACCTCTAAAGCCACTTATGATTAATTACAGCAATTATGTCACCCCCTATTATTCAATAATAGACCACTATACATTCTTCTAAGTATAAATACGACTGTACAGCCTCTGAAGATGATTTCGTCGATAAAGAAAATTTTCTTCGCTGAATCCGTCTTTTATTTTCTTCATAAGGTGAATGTCCTGAAACCAGTACTTGCACTACTATACGATACAGTGAATAACACTCGAGAACATCAACAGCGTCGAATTCAGAAACCGAACAACAGTCAGATATTACGTTTAACTTGTCCAATCATTATTATATCGTTGATATGCAGGTAGTAAGTTATTTCAGAGGAAAGCTTATGTGGAGTATTTGAGTAGTCTTAATGATTTTGAAAAATGCGGTATGACTCTGATGATGCTACTAAAGGTCATATTGATAATGTGCGTTGGGATGTAAACGAGTGGTAGACATTTTATTGCATGAAAGCTTTCCTTACAGTAAAAATGGATTGTTAGGGAATTATTTTCACACACATTTCGGAATAATTCCGCCTAACTTATTGGCTATTCAGAATCATTTCTTATCATAACAGTAAAACGTATCCAATATTCCATGAACGTGTCCGACAGGGATGTCCACTTTCCCCATTTCTGTTTAACTTCATCATAGATATGCTGACGGAAGTATCCTTAACTGAACGTAATGACTTAGGAATCGACTTGTTACCAGGGAATAGTCTTATGGACTTAGAATATGCAGATGACATAGTCCTGTTAGGGGAGGATGCTGACAAAATGCAGAGTCTTCTGAACACCTTGAGCACCAATCTCCGTATGTTTGGCATGCGATTCACCCCTACAAAATGTAGTAAGATGCTGCTACAGGACTGGACCACGTCAACTCCTAATTTAGTGATAGGGAGTGAAGTGATAGAACATGTTGACCACTTCACTTATTTGGGAAGCTGTATTAGCACCAACGGACTGATTGGGAATGAAATCTCAGCACGGATCCGAAAAGCTCGAGCTGCTTTCGCTGACTTACACCATCTCTGGCGTAGGCGTGACATCCGGCTATCAACCAAGGGACGTGTGTACTGCTCAGCAGTTCGCTCCGTCCTTGTCTATGGCTCTGAAACATGGCCAATACGAGTTGAAGACATAAAAAGGTTGATTGCTTTCGATCATAGATGTCTGCGATCTCTGTCTCACGTTATGTGGTTTAATAAGGTAAGTAATGTTGACGTTAGGCGTAGAGTGTTGGGCAAAGAGGGAAAATCAATCGACGAGGCTATAAAGTTACATAGACTAAGATGGCTAGGTCACGTGCTGCGCATGCCTAACCACCGCCTCCCCCGACGGGCATTGCTAGCTGATATAGGTGAATTTTGGAAAAGAGCCAGTGGTGGCCAAACAAAAACATGGCATCAATCCATGAAATCCTTGACAGTTAAACTGAATCAGGTAGGGAGATGCAGACTCCCGGGTTGGGGGCCTCGGGACTCTAGGAATCAATGGCTGGAGACAATAGGTGACATGGCTCAAAATCGTTGTCAATGGCGCAGATGTATTCAGTCTCTGTAATCTTTCATATTCATTTCATTTCTACCATTACCCATTCTGTTCCGCTCTTATACTTGTCAAACTCTATTGATTCTCTTCACTCATCTTCTTGTCTACCTCTGTGTGCTATTTGGAACGTGGCAACTTGAACTGGTGCACTTCGGTGCCAAGTTCTATGTTGAATCCAGACAGACCATGAACGTGGTGTGTAAATGCTCTAAATAAAATCACACATTCTGTGCAGCTTTGAATGTGATTCATATCAAAGCACATCGAAAGAAGTCCATCCAACCTTTCTGATTACCACTACTATTAGGCAAATCAGAAGCATTTATTCATTTCTACCCAATAAGAGGAAACAAGAATACCTTATCCTGATCTCGATATGTTTGCTGTTGTGATGATATCATTCATTTTTCTCATTTAACATGAGACAGGTATATCAGGGAATAATAGCTACTATGTAACAAAATAAAAAATGTTCTCTGATTCTATTGTGGTGAGAGCAGGCTGCTAGCCGATTGGTTGGCACTAATCTACGTTAAGGTCTAGGTCACTAATATGGGCCGTGAGAAAATATGAACAAGCCTGAGTCAACAACCAATCACAGCAAAGTTAACGTGGCAGAATATGATTCGCAGAGAGAACTCTATTTGTCAAGGAATCCCGAAACAACCAATCAGAAGCCTGCGTTTGTCTACCTAAACAACCAATCAGATGACTGCGCTTGTCTATAATAATGTAGTTGAAAGATGTATAAATACGTGTTGATTTTCATAATAAAACGATCTGTTGCCTGGCCCTTGTCTTCTGTTGTTACATTTGGTGTCGCTGCCTACCGACAAATGAAAAGCCTATACCCTGCAGTTTTTGATGGAGACATATGGATCTTCGGGCAGGACTTCAAGGTTTCTGCGCAGTTGAGTGGCGTTCAAGATCTGTCAGCGATGGAGCTGCTACTTGAGACGCTGCTGGGAGGTCGGGCGAAAGCAGCATATGAAGGTGTGGGCCGAAGTATGGACGAATGTTCGACAGGGTCAGGCAAACAGTTTCCAAAGTGGGAAGGACCATATATGGTCACTTCGAGATGGGGTTACGCAGACACAGTCGCAATGGCGAACAATGAGAGGCGCGTGAACGTCAGCGAGCTCCAGAAATGGATACAGCGAGACAAGCCAACGATGACGCCTGCACCAAGTAGATCAAGCCGACTTCAGTCGCACGTATTTGACGGGGGGACGAGTGTGGTGAGAGCAGGCTGCTAGCCGATTGGTTGGCACTAATCTACGTTAAGGTCTAGGTCACTAATATGGGCCGTGAGAAAATATGAACAAGCCTGAGTCAACAACCAATCACAGCAAAGTTAACGTGGCAGAATATGATTCGCAGAGAGAACTCTATTTGTCAAGGAATCCCGAAACAACCAATCAGAAGCCTGCGTTTGTCTACCTAAACAACCAATCAGATGACTGCGCTTGTCTATAATAATGTAGTTGAAAGATGTATAAATACGTGTTGATTTTCATAATAAAACGATCTGTTGCCTGGCCCTTGTCTTCTGTTGTTACACTATGAGTTTGTTTTAATTTCCATTTGTTCTTGAAAATGATTTTACAAAGTAGGAAATTTGTGTAGTTATGCTGACGTAGGAATCAAAAGTTGTTAGTAAACAGGTACATTTAGATGCCTACCTTCCGTATCTGTGACTTTATAGGTTTCTTGGTAACAGTCCAAATAAGTTAATGAATGGCGCAACAAGGTTTGATATCTTGATACAAACAGTTTCACTGGAAATGTATCAGCAATAAGGTACTTTAAAATTACACCTAAAAACATCATTTGAATGCCATCAGATTCCTCAAATAAATAAGGACACAAAATAAGGTGTTACTTTTTCTTTGATTTTTGCACGAGAAATCTTCACTAAACTATGTTTTGTACTGGCTTTACATCGTTGCATACGCAGATAGGACGTCATTGCAAGAATAACTGTTGAGAGTGACTTGATATTTTTCATAATCTAAAATCGAGGTTTACTTGTGATACCAATGTGAAAGTGTATGAAGACGAATACTTAGCGTTTTAGATTAATTTTACCGATTGATTCACGTACCTACCAATCTGAGAAACAAGGTGACACTTTTATACGACATACTTGTAATATAACTTTGCATGGTGACAAGCAATCAGGAATTCATTTGTTTGGTAGTTGTTCCACCACTGAGAAACGCGGTGTTAAGAAGTAATTTGAGCAAAACGTTTCGTAATATCTTCCTTCAGAACCAATAATCAATAAGCACACGTCACTCTTGATTCAGATCACCACTTTGTTTTCAGTATTATAAGATGAAGAAGTCGCCTATTAAAGTAATGAAAGCTTCGCAAGTAAACCTTCCTACTGAAAGAACTCATATTTGCCAAAATCAGCGGTTTAAACTACAAATCTTCCTCATTATATCTAGCAGTAATACACGCTAATTTAAGTCACAGATGTTTCATTCGTGGCATCTAGTTTAAGCAACATATTATTAAAATTCTTTTCATGTCTGAACTTTTTCATTCATTTAACATTCTAGTGCGCCAGAATGTAAATATTCTAAACGAGAATGTTAGAGCTCTATTATTATCATTATTGCTCCCTTGGGTTCCTAGTGGAACATAGGGCTTCAACTGCACGTCTCCATTTGCTTCTGTCTTCTGCTCTACTTTTCACCAGCATCCCTGTTAGTCCACTTTCTCTCAACTCCTCTTCACACGATCTCCTCCATGTCACCCTTGCACTGACGTCCCACACGCCGCTTCCCTTTTGGGCACCACTCGAGCAATAGCCTATCGCACGATGTCACCCAGCGGTCTCCTCAGCGAGTGTCCGATCCATCTCCACTTTCTCCTGCATATTTGTTGGGTAACTAGTTCTTGCTTTGTTTGTTCCCATAGTCCCATGTTGGTGATTCTTTCCGGCCATCTGATCTTCAATATAGAGCGAAGACAGTTGTTGATAAAGGTCTGCAACAGGCTGTTGGAAATATTCTTTGTAACCTGCCAAGTTTCTGATCCGTATAGAAGAACTGACTTTACGTTTGTACTCAAAATCCGAATTTCGTTTTTGATGCTGAGTGACGAGGATTTCCAGAATGGTTTCAGGTTGACGAATGTGTTTCTCGCCTTCACGATTCTCGATTTGACATCCTTGTCCGTTCCGACTTCCTGTCGTTGAGACAATGCTCCCTAGATAAGCGAATGAAGTAACCTCTTTCAAATCCCTCCCGTTGATGGTGATCGGCGCTGGATGTTGCTGATGTTCTTGTTGTTGTTGGTTGGTTGGTTATTTTCATCACCTCCGTCTTGTCTATGTTCACCTGGAGTTTGTCCTGTCTTCGCTGTTTCTTCGACCACTTTGTTGTTTGACGCCTCTAAGTCTTTGATTTTGTGTGACATCAAACATAAATCATCCATGAAATTCAGGTCTTCTAGGTTCTTCACGTCGGTCCAGGATATCACTGTCTTTTCGTTTCCCACTGTCTGACGCATAATCAAGTCCAACAAAATTACGAATACCATTGGTGATAGGTAATAAGCACCCTTGTCTGACTCCTGTGTCTATTCAAAACGCCTTGCTGAGTTTTCTGTTGGGGATCACTTGACATGTGCCGCCGTTGTCGTACAGCTGTTGAATAAAGTTGATGAATATTTGGGGTACGCCGTAGTAGTGCTCGAGTAGTTTCCAAATTACTTAATGGTCAACCCCGTTGAAGGCCTTCTCAAAGTTTATAAAGTTGAGGTAGAGGTTTGATTGCCATTTCATGCTTTGTTCTCTGATGATGATGCGTAGAGTTGCAATTTGGTCAGTACATGATTTGCCTTTCCTGAATCCAGCTTGTTCTGGTCGGAGTTCTGTCTCCAGTGCGTCCTTTATTCTCTCCAGGATGATGCGACTGGGGATTTTACTTGGCGTAGCCAGAAGAATGATTCCTCGTCAGTTCCTGCTGAGTCCTAAGTCGCCCTTCTTTGGTAGTTTCACGAGGTAACCTTTCCTCCAGTCAGTAGGCACCTTTCCCTCCTTCCAGACCTTTTGCAATAATGGAGTCAGCATGTCTGCTGTCGTCTCTGGGTCTGCTTTCATATCAAAGGTCTTTTGGACCAGGAAATGGTTCGATCACTCATCTGCTTCTCTTTACCATCTTCTGTCCACTTGATCTCCACATGATCGTAGTCAAATTGAGATGAAGGTCAACTGGTGTTTTCTTTCTCTATCTGGCGTAACTCATGTCTTGTTTTGGACCTTTTTGTGGTACCAATCACCAGATTATTACAGACTAAAAAGATCTATAAGAGTTCTCCAATGTCATTCATTCCACGCATGGAGTGCTTCACAAAACGTAATGAATTATTTTCCTGCAGTGTTTGCACCTTATCTCCATTATTATTTGGATGTCTATAGGAGTCCTGTTCTCTTTAACTGGCCTGCGTTGTTTGTTTTTGTTTTTCTGTTTAATTGTAACTTTCCTTCCTTTATTGTTCAATCTTGTTGTCAGGGTCCTGCACGAATTTTATCCCCAACCTCCCATATTGCAATCCCATTTCGTATGTTGTCACAGATTTCTAACACTTTTATCTTGCCATTTCTTTTGTAATTTGAGCAAATTTGTCCGCGCCAAATGTAATGTGAACACTCATTGTTTATATGCTTACTCCTACTTCTATTCAGAGAAGCCACACCAAATGACAGCCTAACAGAAGCCTTTCATTTCTTCTCCGATTCGCATTGAAGTATTAATTAATGTCCATTGTTCACTCTGATTTCGAAAGATGTAGGAAAGTTACAGCATAGCTTTTCTTGTCTCCTATGGAATCAATCCACTTCTTTTGCTTAAGACGTGCTAATAAACTATGCAGGGCTCTCTGAACCTTTTATGTACCCGTGACTGTTAAACGACCATGATCTCAACATGGATCATATCGCTGGACTATTTTTCATTCTTTTAATTTATTTTACACAAATCAATCAACAATGGTTACTAACGGCGTACATTTGTAGTACAACCATCATGTAAGTGTAAGCGTTGTTTATTCTTAGGGGCTATTTCAGGATGCATAATTTGAGTTTGCATCTAAAAAGATCTATGTAGGAATTAAATAGTTATATATATATATATATATATATATATATATATATATATCAGGTTAACTGTCTTTCATCTTGATGCCTTGACGGGTTCTCAATTCATATGTGGAGTGGACAATGAAATTATGCGACTTATGTCAATATTTTTGAGCGAAAACTTTGAGGTAAATGAGAGCGTATTAAAATTAAACCCGAATTGGCGTTTTCAAGCAGTTTCAAAACATTTCTTATTTGACAACTAGTACAATCGCTTAGCTACGAAATGCCAGTTTTATTATTTCTGTATTTTAGAGTTTAGTTAAGATCACGCAAAATATGGAATCATGCTTCAACACTCCACTGTTTGAAATAGATGTCAATTTGAGTTAGCTGACACTTTAGACTAAGTCTAATCATTTACTGTATTGGAACAGAATTTCGGCTGAACAGAATATGTTGATAATACTTTTGAAACTGACCACAGTGTATACTGAAGCTCGCGGAGTTGAAGGTGAGATTATTGATTGAAGCTTTGAGATTGAATATTGAATTCAGTAATTTCATATATGCATAAAAATGCACATATTTGTATAGATATGAGGCGATTCTGTATATACAGATCACATTCATTCGTACATGAGTATAATTTGATGAATGTGTTATGTGAAAACATGTCAACTGATACCGTGTTTATATTTATCTTATCACAGAATAACCACTTTTGTTATTCAAGTGTTGTTATGTCTTTTTATAACACATCAACATTGAAACAATCTCTCTTTTTTCTGTACATTCTGTTTGTTTCAATTAAATACGGACATGATTGCTGACTGATAATATGATGTAAAAAGTAGATGGGTGGTGCTTTCAGAATTTTCAGAGGGAAGAAACCATTGCACATATACATATATGTATATAGTTTTGTGGTGAGACTGAAATCATATCAGGCAGATACCAAAAGTTTATCCAGAAGATACCGGAAGATCCTCAGTCAAGGCTGAAGATTCAAATGTGTTAAGAGATTCTGATTCAACGTTCAGATTGAATCTAATTTATGGAAAAAAGTTGATAAATTTGCTGTAGTCTACTTTTTATTCATTACTATGAAATTTTATAGTAGGTTAGCTATCCGTGGTCATTTCACCATAAACTAATTTATGAATTATCATGTGACATGTTGACGAGTCAGATTACAAAAGCATTATTGATAAATATTGCATAATGTACAGAAGGGCAATATTTGAGTTGTTGAAAATAGTTATAGTAACACCAAAACGGAAATTATGGAAAAGAATATTCTTCGTTCAGATTGACTTTTAAAACGGAAATAACTCATGTATTTCACGGCACAATATATAACAGGAAGCTCAATGGGCGTAGTGTGTAGAACAAAGTATTCTATATCTACTCATTCGTTTAACTGATTTTTGCGGGCGAATGACTCTTCGAAACACTCTTGTTTTCCCATTTTACAG